GAAACCAATTGGACAATAAATTTCATATATTGAAAAAAAATAAATTCTGACCTGTGGTCTGCCTATATGTGTGCAGCTATCAGCGGAGGAAAATGTGCAATTATACCGATTGGTCTCACATTAAATAATATGACCAGTAACTTCAAGTTAGTTTTTACTGGTGCCCTCTGAGATATTTATAATCTATAATATTATTTATTTCTTTAAATCTCTAACAACTTCTTTCCCATCCTTTCTCAACTTCCAGCATTCTTCTTTATTCTTTGAGAAAGCTTAGGAATAAATAGATGAGGCCTTCCACATTCTTCTCCCACATCTGGTCTTGTTCCCGCATGGGTGCCCATATACATGCCTTACATCCTATTACTATGACTTAACTATCCACTCTCAGTCTAAAGCCAACCTGACCACTTGTCCTTTAGATTCCACCGCTTCGGGGGCACCTGGGTGGCTCAGTCGGTTAAGCGTCCAACTCTGGATTTCAGCTCAGGTCATGATATCCCAGTTCATGGGTTCAAGCCCTGCATCAGGCCCCGCGCTGGCAGTGTGGAGCCTGCTTGGGACACTCTCTCTCTCTCTCTCTCTCTCTGCCCCCGCACAAAGTAAGTAAGTAAATTTTTTAAAAAAGTAATTAAATTCCACCCCTTCTCACTCCCACAAGGACATCAGCATATCTTTCTTGTGCATCATCACTTTCCCACTCTGTATTGGATTATTTTTATCAGCATAAAAATATGTTCTTATTTCTTCTGTCTGAAATTCCTCCTTTTCTTTTTGGTCTTCTCTCTGTAGCTGCTTTTCTTAACAACAAAACCCCTCCGAAAAATTATTTATTTGGGCCATCCCCAGTACTGCTTCCTTGTTACCTTTTTCTAATGATCAAATTCTTAGTCTTTATTCCATATTTTATTCTCCTTTCTTTCACAGTAAGAACTTGCTTATCAACAACCTCAATATAGGTACTTATTTTTTCAGGTCTCCTATGCAGAAAACATGTATAGCAGGAATGCTGTACCAAGATCTCTACCAGAACAAACCCACTTAGTGTAAAGTTCTGACTGAATGCTTTTCCCTTAAGAATGAGACCCAAGGCAAGGATGCTTTCTGTACCCATGTATCTTGATCATATTGTGGTGGACACTCTAGCCATTCCATGAGATAAGATAAAAAATAAAAAGCAAAGCAAATGAAAAGAAAAATGTAAAACTGAAGTTTCTAGAATTAAGAAGTGAATTGAGCGAGGTCAAGGACACAGTGTCGATCCACAAAAATCCATCATATGTGTATATACCAACAATGAAATTAAGATTTTAAAAACACCTTTTAAGGGGCGGGTGCCTGGGTGGCACAGTCGGTTAAGCGTCTGACTTCAGCCAGGTCACGATCTCGCGGTCCGGGAGTTCGAGCCCCATGTCAGGCTCTGGGCTGATGGCTCAGAGCCTGGAGCCTGTTTCGGATTCTGTGTCTCCCTCTCTCTCTGCCCCTCCCCCGTTCATGCTCTGTCTCTCTCTGTCCCAAAAATAAATAAACGTTGAAAAAAAAAATAAAAAATTAAAAAAAAACACCTTTTAAAATAGCATCTAAAGTATAGAGTACCTAGGGCTGAATTGAACAATATGTGTGTCAAAGCCACCAGACACTGCTAAGTTAAAAGACGTAAATATATTAAAAGAGAGAATTTGTTCGCGGGTTAGAAAAATCAGTATGGGTGGCTTTCATTGAACTATAGACTCATTGCAATCCCCATTAAAAGCCCAGTAGGCCTTTTTAGAGACAGTGATAAGCTGATTATAAAATTTATATGGAAATGCATGAAATGTAGAAGAGCCGAAACACTTTTGAGAACAGAACAAATGAGATGATTTACTTTGTGTCAAGGTTACAGTAATCAAAACAGTGTGGTATTGGCACAGGGATAGACATGTAGATCAATGGAACAAAATAAGACCCACAGATGTAGAGCCACATGTATGTTTCATTGAATTTCAGTAAGTTGACAAGGTGGGTAAGTTAAGGTGGAAAGGAGAGCACTTGTAATAGTGCTGAAACAACCACGTATCCATGTAGAAAAATAATGAATCTCAAGCCATATTGCATACCTTATGAAAGCTAAAAGTCTAAAAATTCTTGTAAAAAACATCAGAGAAAACCTTCATAACCTCACGGTAGATAGAAAAAGTATGTATATTAGACAAAGGATTTGTATTTAGAATATATAAGATAACCTGTCAATCTGTAATAATGTGACAAACAATCCATTGAAAAGTAGACAAAAAATTTGTAAAAACCCTTCAGAAAAGAACATTTGTGCATGACCAATAAGCATATGCAAAGATGCTCAACATCATTAGTCATTAGGGAGAGACAATAAAACCATAATGTGATATATTTCTATATTTCCATTAGAGTGGCTAAAAATAAAAAGCTGAAAATGTTTATCGCTGATGAGGATGAAGAGCTGATGGGAATGTGACATAGTACAAACACTCTGAAAATTGTTTTTGCATTTTCTTATCAGCATATTCTTACCATAGGGCCCTGCAGTGCGGTGTATTTACTTAAGAGAAATGAAGAGTCAAGAGGAAAGAAAATGCCTATGCAATTACTTTTACATGATGGTTTTAAACAACTTTATTGATAATAGCCGCAGATTGGAAACAACTCAAGTTTCTATCAAAAGTTCAATGGATAGACAAATTGTGGAGTATTCCTACAGTGGAATACTACTCAAGAATAAAAAAAATGGGCGCCTGGGTGGCTCAGTCGGTTAAGCGTCCGACTTCGGCTCAGGTCATGATCTCACAGTCCCTGAGTTCGAGCCCCGCGTCGGGCTCTGTGCTGACAGCTCAGAGCCTGGGGCCTGTTTCAGATTCTGTGTCTCTCTCTCTCTCTCTCTCTCCTCTCTCTCTCTCT